CACCCCCCCACACACACACACCCACCCAAACACCCCCAAATAAAAATAAAAAATTCATCGCCAGAAATTATTGAACAATAGGCAATGAGCATCTAGTTCAAGAAAGCCAAAATTCAATTAAGAAAGAAACCAGAGGAGCACCTATAGCAAAACACTTTTGAAATACAAACCAAGTTGCTAGAAAATTGGAATGCCTTTGCTAACAGTTGCCTCTGCACCTTTAAGATGTCGAGGAACCACATAAATTTGTAATTGCAAGTATTCAAGAGGTATTCATGCTGCATCTAGGCTGATGGACATGCTTGGATTTAGAGTTCATAAAGTTAGAACTCCATTTAAGAATCTTGTTACTTCACAAAACCAAGCATACTTTTCCATTTCCTAATCCAGAACAAAATAATCACATTGAAGCAAAACGTTTTGAGTAAAATTCTTTCTGCTATAGTTTCTTTTTGCTTAACCATAATGCTAAGAGCACTGCAACACCTAATGTCTAGTCTTAAACCGAAATTATAATCGAAGGATGATATAGAAAAACAAGTCTGTGTTCCTTCATCACCCTCTAGCGTACCGAACTTGTGAAAAGCATGATTTAAGATATGCACGGACTTCAGTGAAATAGGAGCCTCAAGTCCCGCTTATTCAAGAGATATTCTAAGAGGAAAGACAGCTCAGGATTCGACAAATCCAGCATCAGTGCGTGGAAATGACTCTTTGACATAGCTGAAATAAAAGTTCAGTCTATATATCAAATTACTTGGACTATGTAAAAGTTCCAGGTCACATTTAAGTTCAGCCGATCAAGGATTATATAAGGGAGAGCTTGGAGCTTTCAACAAAATCACATGCACAGTAAGATTCAATTTGACATAGAGGATACTGCCGCACTGCCTTTTTCCTTCCCAATAGGTTGAGGCTCTGGATAAACACAAAAATATGGAGAGTTAGATAGCAAAAATGGAGGCATGATCAGAACTTCAACAAAGATGCAATAGCTACACACGATCTTAGCCAAAAGGCAGAGAAAGGTATAACAAAGATGCAATAGCTAGGACGTTGACAAATGAATTTCTGCTGCAAAAATTAGTAATTGCATAAAGCAGCTGGGAGCCACATGACTAACATATATATGGAAAACTGATAGGTGAACTTCTCTTCTTTATGGACCAAAGGGTTTTCTGATATAGAGGCAAAGGGTATCGGATAAAGGTTATGATATGATGCAATGTATGAAGAGATGGAGTTCTACCTCCCAAACCAAAGTTGGTAGTCTCGATTCTCACGTAAGTGAATCTAACTCATGAAAGGACATTGTGGTAATGTTTCTACGTCGCACTGATTGCTTGAGCTCTCCCGAAAAGCCAGGATGCATGCCAATATTGCCACAGGGGTTAAAGGCCCGTTCCTCAAAACTACAAAAAAGTTTTAGTTTTTCCCACTTTCCTCATTGGTGGCTTGAACCCCCAAACTCGTGGTTGGAGGTGGAGCGCTCTTTCTTTATGTTTAGTTAATTAATTATCTATGGCTTAGCTATAGCATGCCACTCTTCTGTTTAAGTTGCCCGATCATCATGTTTTTGGATGATGTCACTTTTTAGTGGATATTATGACACTATTTTGCTTCACTCCATCAGTTGATATCATATGAAAAGGTAAGCTCAAGTCTTGGTCTGTATCTGGGGATCACAACCTTGTATCCAATCCTTTATACGAGACTCCTTTCTTCATACAAATGCTCATAGGCGAAAGAGACTGAAATTTGATTGATCAATCTTAGCCATTGTTTAGAAACAATAAGAGGAGAAATCTTGAAACTTACCCCCTCTTTAATGTGTCTTGCAAGCAGAAAGAGAAATGAAAAAAAGTACAACAGAAAAGAATTTCCCTAGGGCTGCAAATTGTTAGTTAAATTAGAATGAAAAGGAGCCAATGTTTTACTTCCCCTCCCAGCTTCATTTGAATTCAAAAGCGAATAAAAAACAAATTTCTTTCACTCTACCCACCATTCTGGTATCTCTTATTTCCTTCTTTTCTCCTCCCTTCCCTTTTTTCAAGCAATTGATTACTTTCTATGCTGGAATCCTGCCCACTCCAAGTCTACCCTGCACGCGTTCTTCCCGAATTCAACCGGGATTTCCTATGGCCGGTTGCTCTTCCCCTGCTAATCTTGTATATAACCATACTATGAAAGTTTGGGAGAGGGTGGTGGAAGTAAGAGTGAGGAGGGTGTCTATTTTCCAGAGCCAGTTCGGATTTATGCCGGTACGATCGACTACAGAAGCCATTCATCTTGCCATTCATCTTGTAAAGAGATTGGTGGAGCAGTAAAGGGAGAGTAATAGCCTATTTGGCCAAGCTTTTTTTTTGGGTCAAAAGTGCTTTTTTTTTTTGCCAAAAGCATTTTTGGCAAAAAATTGAGGTGTTGGGCTAAGCTTTTGAAAGGAAAAAAAATTCTTTTGAGGAGAAGCAGAAGCAGTTTTGAGAAGCAGAAAAAAGTAGCTTCTCTCCAAAAGCACTTCTCTGAGAAGCACTTTTGAGAAAAATACATTTAGAAGCAGTTTTCAAAAGCTTGGCCAAACACTAATTACTGCTCAAAAGTGCTTTTCAAATTAATTAGCCAAACACAAACTGCTTCTCAGCAAAAGCACTTTTTTAAAAAGTACTTTTGAGAAAAGCACTTCTCAAAATAAGCTGACTTTAGAAGCTTGGCCAAACAGGCTATAAGAGGGATATGCATATGGTGGTCATTGACCTAGAAAAAGCATACCACAAAGTCCCAAGGGAAGTTGTATGGAGATGTTTAGAGGTGGGTGTGGAGGTCGAGAATTGGGGTAGAGTGTTAATATATAGTCGTGTGTGCTTTTCTTTTCGGTACTAGTAGTATTAGGGTAGTCTTGTATCTTTTTATTTACACATTTCTATTATTACTTGTTGATTCTTTCGCTTTGATTTTTACTATCTTGTTGTTGTTACTTCTTATTGCTACTGCTATTTTTTCATCTTTTCTTGAGCCGAGGGTCTTCGGAAACAACCTCTCTACCTTCTTAAGGTAGGGGTAAGGTCTGTGTACACACTATCCTCCCCATGCCCCCACTTGTGGGATTATACTGGGTTTTTTGTTGTTGTTGATTACTTTCTGTGCTGCTGTATATATTACTTCTCCAATACAAATTAGCATGGTTCTATTTATTAGTATCCATTGTAGACAAAAAAAAAAGGGCCGCCCGTGCACTAAGCTCCCGCTATGCGCGGGGTCAGGGGACAGAAAAAGAAATTTTAAGCTATGACAAAGGTGTCACCACAAGTTCATATGAAGGAGAAGACATTTTCCTCAACAACATTAGCACTACCAAAACCAATGGTTAAAAGTGTTTAACCAACATCATTGTCATTTATTGTTACTGCTGCGGAGCTGCATGTTTTGGTGGGACAGCTTCACATGAAGCATTTCTAACCCAAGATAATTTGCAAAGAAGTGCATTTAATGTATGCAACCGGGGCAACATGTGTGAAGCCCAAGCTGAATCCCTGTGACATACTTTTGCATTGTTCTTATGCTTGGCAGATCTGGATGTTCCTTAACGTATTTGGAATGAAATAGGCTTAGCATCTTTGGAGGTGCAAAGCTAGAGGGGACAAAGAATTAGGAAGCTAATCAAATACATATGGAACACCGTCCCACTGTGTATTTTTTGTTGTCTATGGAACGAGAGGCAGAGCACATGTTTTGAGAGCATATACATAGCTTGACTTGTGTAAAATTAGCATTACATCTTTTTGTTTTCTTGGTGCAAAAAGAAACAGTATCAAGATGTATATATTTTTCTGGACTAGTTGGAATCCTGAAAATATCTAAAGGAAACAAAGTCCTCTTTGGATACAAACATTGGCGCCTTCTTGGTACAATCAATGGCATTACTTTGTATATAAAACTTTTATACTAAAAGCAGCAGGTTGAGGGAGTTAAGTCTCTAAAAATAGATTCTCTGATAAAAAAACAATTTTTTTCCTTTTTCCTCAAAACTTAGAGATAAATATCATATAGCGTGTAAAACTACATATATGCATGGATGCAAATGCAATGCAAAGGGCTCTGCACCACCATTGGAAATATTACTAGAATTGGGATTTCAGCTTCCACCCAATTAAGACAGCAAGGCCCATAAATTCCCCCAATAAATTTAAAATGCTATTTCAGATTATATTTCGTTATACATTTAAAATTTACTCGTTAATTTGGGGGACATATCTTTAACATACATCAGATAGATTTTCAAGGATTCCTGCAGCACAAAGACAAACTCATTTTGGTTTTGGTCCTTAACACTATGCACAACACTCAGGTAGATACTCAAACTAGCAACTTAGCTTAAAACAATGATTCATATGCTCATTCCTGATACGTAATACGCCAATAAAAGAAATACAAACCGTAGTGATCACTATAAGAAAAGGTCGAACCCTCATCATTTTCATAGACTCATAAGGATTTAAGTGCAACAAGCAAGTCCATTCTGGAATTACCAAACAACAATAATAACTAAGCCTCAGTCACAAACAAGTTAGGATCGACTATATAATGAAAAATATAAAAATAAGATATCTTACTTGATATGAGTGCCTTAGGTCTGGTTTTAAAAAGAATCCTTTGACGAATTATTCCAATAACGTCCAATTCCACCCTTGATGAACTAATGTCACCCTTCTTTTCCTCAGAGTCAAGTTTGATTTTCTTCAATACTAACATTGGCTTTTTCAAGGGCACTTTGGACCCGGTCAATTCATGATACCCAACAGTAAATGTATAATTTTCCTGAAAAATAGCAGCCACAAAAATGAAAACTGAAATTCCTAAAATTTCATACAATAGAGTAATTTGATAGGAAGAGAAATAACCTGGGAAGAGGGGCGGCAGAGAATGCCAATTTGGAGATTTTCGAGGCGATCTTTGAAGGAGGGTTGGGCTTCAACCACACCTTGAAGTTCCAGAATTGCCCATTCCGGGCATTTCTCCTCCCCGCAGCTGCATTTTACCTGAATCTGCATTTACGATTCACTGCAACTAAGAATCAATTAGAAAGGTAGATATTCGCTAGAGATTTTGCCCTCTTTGAGATCAGTTTTTAACCTCTTTGAGCTGGGTCCAAGGGCTTTGAGGCGAGCGCAGGAAAGTGGGACGCTTTTTGGCGGCAAAGATTGAGCCGCACAAACGATGACGTTTTTAGATAAAAAAATAATAGGAGTACTAGGGAAAATAAGTTTTTTCCTATTATAAAACAATAAAAGAACAAGAAGAGTATCCCAGAGAAAAGTAGTGAGAAAATTTTTATTGATTTTTGGGATCAATTACAATAGAATAGAATCTCTCTATTTAAAGAGAAAAAGTGACTTACCCACAAAGTAACAAACATAAAAATCTGTCTAAAATATAGACATTCACCTTAAATATAGTTACATTTATAACACTCCCCCTTGAATGTCTATTCAACATATAATGTGCCTCGTTAAAACCTTAACTAAAATAAAACCCAGTCGGAAATAAATTTTATAGAAGGAAAAAGAGTACACGTGTTTAGAAATACGCCTTTTGGTTGCCTCGTTAAAAAACTTGCAAGGAAAACCCAGTGGAACAAAATCTTGTCAGAAAAAAAGAGTACAGCGCGTATTAACTCCCCCTGATGAGAGCATCAATTCACAACTTTAAGCCTTCGCATCCCGATATTGTACACTAGTTTCTTGAAGGTTGACGTCGGCTGAGATTTGGTGAATAAATCGGCCATATTAACTCCAATGAGTATGTTGCACCTTGAAATAATCATTCTTGATAGATATAATGTCTTCATATAATGTCGTGGAGTGGCCTTTTAATATCTCCATAGAGGTAAAAATTCTCGCTATCACATTATCATGCTTATCGTTATAGCAAGATACAAATGTGCACAAATTGCACTTAGGGTGCAGTACTTCATGACTAAGAATTCTATATGCTTTAAGCAATTTAAATCCTTCAGGGATTGTCATATAAATTAAGTCATATAAGCCATATAAATAGAATTTAGATGCATATCAAGTTTTCATGTCATGCTAGATCTATAAGATAGATAAAAGTGATTGCACACTCTGTTGACTTTATACTTTCAAACATTTGAACGACATGTCCAAAACTATATGTCTTCCATATGAAACCAATTATTTTCGAATTGTGTCTCTTCCATTTGGTCAATATTTTTGTGTCTGTATTCAACAGACTTAAGATCCGCATCTACACTTAGCGTTATCATAGATATCGTTGACGAACATTTTATATCGGTTCCAACATTTTTTTCATAAAGGCATAACTTAGAAATCTCTTTATTCATATTTTCTGGTACCTAAAATACTCTTGAGATTTTATGAAGTGTTATGTCATGTGATCTTCTAGATCACTTGCCTCCTTATTGATCATTTTGGTCATTTACTCATCCTCTTTGTCAAAAAGTTTATTTGAAATCGATTTGTCTATACGCTTTAAGTGTACCATAGACTTTGTCCTTCTAAGACTTATTCTAATAAGAGCATTTGCGGTGAGAATATAGTTATTCTTTGGGTCAGCAAATGCGTCTAGCATGCTTTGCAATATATTGCAGATGAATTATCTTTTTTATGAACTTCAAGTTCATGTTATCTTATTCGAGGATCGAGATGTAGAAATGATAATTCATTCCACGTAACTTTTTCTCAAATGTTATTATCTCTCCCCCTCATGTTAGAAAAACTAATTTGCTTCCTCAACTTTGGGAACCCATCTTTGTTCATTATGGTGTTAATCAAAATATACACCGCACATCAATAATAATAAGATGGAATTATTTGGTTCCTGACCCTGAACCAGTTGTGAGGGGAGAATGTAATATACTTTCGTGTATAACGTATACCAAAGTGTTATAGATAATTTTATTCTCATAAGCAATAGTTTAGCTATTAAGTGGAGGCAGTCAATAAATCGTTTTGCTAAACCAACTGTGATATAAATCAACTTATCAAAATGAACTTTCTTGAATAGAAAATCTGGAAATTATGCTCTAAATTAAATTATTGAGCAAGAAACCTGGCTTCAAGTTGTGGGTTGATAATAAACGCACATGTAACCATCTCATAGATGCATCTTTATAAGGTTTACATGGCAGGTGATAGTCCCATATTCACTTTTGATAAATTCTATAATTCAAGGGATTTAATCTCAATTTTAGTTGGTATAATAATCGTGAGAACAAGCAACACATGAGAATTCGTGAAGAATCTTCTTCAACACTTACCCATATGAATTCTCATTTATTTTGCACATCATGCTTAAATCAAGATTGCTCAATAGGTCATGCTTGATAAAATTATCTGTATCAGTAAACTTCAGGTTTATATTATGACATGTGCAATTATTAATTAAACTCCTAGTTTACTATGACATGGGTATTTTATATTAATAAACATCCAGTTAATCGTGTCATGTAATTTTACCATATTTTTATTTATGTAGTACAAATTAGGTGATGTTCTAAACGTCAATACCACACAAGAGGGGGGGGGGGGGTGATTTGTGTGGTACCCAATTTTCGCTCTAGAAGAACCTGGTTCTTCTAGATGTACTAACTACTGCTGTTTGCGGAATAATAAATACATAAAATAAAGAACACAGAGATTTTTACGTGGAAAACACGTGGCTCAAAAGGTGAAAAAACCACGAGCTACTACTCAGTAGGATTTTCCCAAACTTCCACTAAAATCACTGAGCCAAAACAGCATTTACAAAACTCTTTGTAAACCTAAGGATTAACTCTAATCCCGTTGTGGCAACCAGCCTCTAACTGCTGCGACAACTTCAAGTTAACTCTAACTTGAATACTCAAAATACATAGTACAATTGCTTCTAGATAAAGCTGAAAGGTACAATATGAAAACACCTACAACAATTGAACTAGAAATAAAGAAAGACACATAAAACTCTTTATAGAGCTGGTTCTTCAATCTGGTTCATGTAACTTCAGGTTTGCACACTTGAATGACACACGAACTGCTTGCAAAAACCCTTGCTATTTTGCTCTCAATTCACGTTTAACTTCTGCGTTTTTGTGAAACACTATAACGTGAGAACATCCTGCAATTTATAGAGTTATAGATGAAGAAATAACTAGAGTTCTGATGCAACTCTTCCTTGGTGGAAGAGTTCAAGTTGATTTCAACTTCTAACTCCTTCCCTATCTTGAATTGTGTTCTCTTTGATTAAGGACTCCTTCTCCTTATCAATTATGCAACCTTTTCGATCAGGAGATATTAAATACACCAAGTTAAGCTTATCTCCTTCACGTGCAACCCACATGCTCGAATCTGCCCGTTTTTGTGCACCTGAGTGATGGACCTGGTTCATCCTGAGTTTTTTTGTCAGTCTTCAAAACTAACCTTTAATTGGGCCTACAAATTCCCCCTTTTTGATGATGACAAACTCTATGCTTTTCATAAGCTTAGGCCCTGTTTCAACTCAGCTCAACATCAACACAATGTTAGAAACATTTTTCCTTTTTATCACTTATCATCAAGGACCAGGTACATTAGGTTATAAACATCATTGTTCAAAGTGTAAACATCACTTGTTTAAAGCACAACCTTTTTTTCCCCTTTTGGCATCATCGAAAAGTTGCATAAAATGTGAGATAACCAGATTTTAAAACTTACTCATGGCCACTGGGGCTACTTCAAATGCAAACATGGATTAATCATCATAGATCAAACTAAGAATTTCAACCATCAAAGAAATATAAACAAACAGTTAGAGCAAAAGACAATGAATTTCATTGATGATTGATAAGATTCTACCACAAAGCATAAGAAGAAATAAAAATACCGAAAATATGAGCAAAAGAAACAAAAAGTCCCGAATTGGGTCACTGGTTGATCTACACTAGGCTAGGATTTAAGGCTTGTAAGAGGTAGGGGCTGGGTTATTTTCTTGGAGAAGTTTCAGCATGTCTTGAAGAATTCCATCATTCTTCTCCTTTTCCCTTGCAAGTTCAGCTATGAGAACATCTCTCTCAAATTGTACCTCAACCAATCGTGTCTTCAGCCTTGCTATCTCAGCATCCTTTACCTCACTCTCCTGTAATAGAGCTCTAACCTTGCTATTAATAGGTGTCTTTTTAGATGAACCAGGTTCATTAGGAATGACATTGACTTCATAAACGCAAGCAAGCAGAGTATTAACCCCACTTCTTCATAGGTACCTTGACATGTGCAAGCACAGTTGTGAGAATGAAACCATAGGGAATGACATGAGTTTTGGTGCCATTGATAACCCTATCAGTAGGTCCGCGAGGGTTTCCTGTTCAGATGGAACAGGTTCATCTATATTTTTCCCAAGTTGAACCAACCCCTCAGCAGCTTCGCCAGACCCATTTCCCCCTGTTTTGCTCACACTCTCTTCTATTTCAGTAAATTCCTCTCCCTAAACAACCATTGCACCAGTTTCTTTTGTTAGACCATCAGGAGTGGGTGAAGAATCAACCACTCTTTTACCCTTTCCCCTCACAGCACTCCTAACACCTTGCTCTCTTTTTCTTTTTCCTTTTTATTTTTACCACCAACTTCTCCAGATTCTGTAGTCTCAACACCTGCTATAGATCCTACAAATCTGTTCTCCAAATTTGCAGCAACTTTAGAAATTGTCTCAGGAGAAATTTTAGAATCAGAAGATACCTGTTCAGTTTCGGAAGAACCACTTTATTCCCCCTGAGTAGCTGACTTAAAAGAATCTAGGTAATTTAATACGGTCAGGAGTCTTGAACGTAACCGGTTCACTTGTAACGGATAAGTTCAAAAGAACTTTGGTATTTGGTAGGACTCTGCTCATGATCCAAATATAGTTATTTCAAATTATGCAGAGTGTAGAAAACATACCGTATTATCTTGATGAACCAGGTTCTTCACTGATAATTCTCTTGTGTAAGTCTAAATTTGCCAAAATAGAGAAAATATCATTAGAGATTAATGAGTCAATTTAACACATGGCACAAGAGTATACTATGGAAAGTATGAGACTGAGCAAGATTTAATCTAACTATACACAATTTACAGACTTTCTAACCAAATATATTTCTTTTCAATTTTTTCATTTTTTTTGTTTAACCTTGAACTTGTCCTTTTAGGTGATCTTAATCATCCCTAATTC